TCATTGCTTGCCTTTATAAAATTATTTAAAAAGTGCATATTTGTCAACTATAATAAATTTACACACACTAAAACTTGTTAAGATTATTCATCTTATGTGTCATAATTAAACTTGCGTGTGGTTCTTCCACTATGGGGGTCGTTTTTCTTATATTCTGTGTAAACCGTGTCTTGTGATGTGTGTTCCCTTCTTAGCTGCGAGTGTTGTAATCTAAGCTAAGAAGGGAACACACATCACAAGACACGGTTTACACAGAATATAAGAAGAACGACCCCCATGGTGGAAGAACCACACGCAAGTTTTAATTATGACACATAAGATGAATAATCCTAACAAGTTTTAGTGTGTGTAAATTTATTATAGTTGACAAATATGCACTTTTTAAATAATTTTATAAATGCAAGCAATGAAATAAATTAGTGTAATTAGGGCATCTGATGATGACACATGTTGCCGAAACATGTCATGAAGTAACAGGTGAAATTGAGTGCACTACAAGACGGCAACTGTATACATATCATGGATAATACGTAGAAGTATATAATTTGTCCTTTGTGAAGGTTGTGAAACAGTGGCTAAAGGACATGGCTGGAATTTTACCATAAAGGCTCTTGTTGCCAAGATGACTTAGGCAGTTGATTTTGACACTGACAGAAATAGGTGTATGTCTTAATTAATGTACATACTCGTACAATTTACCCTTCTTGTATTGTGGATCCAGGTCTTGATCTTGATCCCCATTTTGAATATGTATGTTTTATATCATACAAATTTACGTATGTATAATGTTTTATTTACAGTATAAGACTATTGCAATACTCGTGTTCCTTGCTGTAGTATTCACAGTCCATAGTCCATTGTGCATAGGATGTATGTTTCCAGTTTTTCTAACCCCAGTAGTATTTTATGAAAATAGCAGAATTTAATGACCACACATTTTACATGATTGGCCACTGATGGTTGGAAAATATGCTGAGCTGTTGGATAAGGTAAGTATTTTAGTCATTTCATAAATACTGTCTACATAACACGAATTCGAAAATTTGATAAGTGTGCTATTTGAAAGTTCCCGAACTGTTATTGTAACTGCCTCATTGGAAGAAGATGAGTGGGGAGGCGAAGGTCACACTTCCGCAAGCCTATTGCATCAGCCTGCCACATGACAGCGCGCTGTGAAAACGCGTTGTTTTTACAAGAGTGTTTTTAGACTTCGTGTTTCGTTTTGCCTGCGATGGATGGCAAAAATCGAGCAACGTATCTGCATTTATTTGCGTGAAGCTCGGTAAATCCGCTACCGAAACCATTGAAATGTTTCGTGAGACTTTTGGAGAACATTCTTTAAGCCGGAAGTCAGTTTTAGAATGGTATTCACGTTTCAAGGCCGGTCGAGTGTCAGGTGAAGATAACGAAAATTCAGGGCGACGAAGCCCCAGCAAAACTATAGAAAATGTTCAAAAAATCGATAACTCATCCACGAAGACCGTCGCCGAGCAATCCATGAGCTCGCAGAGACCTTTGGGATCAGTTATGGTGTTTGCCAGGAGATCATAACAGAAAATTTGAAAATGCGTGCTTTGGTGTGAAGTTTGTTCCCCGACTCGTGACAAATGATCAAAAGCAGCTGCACGTAAACGTGTCTTAAGCTAGGAGAGAAAGCCAACGAAGACCCAACTTTTATTTCTAGGATCATGACGGGTGATGAAAGTTATATTTACGGTTATAATCCAGAAACAAAGCAGCAATCGTCGCAATGAACGAGCAGGAAGGTGCGGCAGGTCCGGAGTTCAACAAAGAGCATGCTGATTGTTATTTTTTTTCAACATGAATGGGATTGTTCATCGTGAATTTATTTCTCCTAACACTAAGGTCAACTCTGACTTTTGCTATGACGTTTTGAAACGCTTGTGAGAACGTGTGTCGAGAAAGACCGCAACTTTGACGCAAAGACGACTGACTCCATCATGACACGTCCCTTAAAACCTATAGTTATCGGTCCCCATCCTCCCTACGCGCCGGACTTAGTCCCCTGTGATTTCGCTTTGTTTCCCAAATTGAAAATGAAACTGAAGGGACGACGTTTTGACAGTGTCTGACATCCAAAGGGAATCGCAAGCCGTACTCTACATCATTAAGAAAAATGATTTCCATGGTGCCTTTGAAGAGTGAAAAAATATGAGATCACTGTATACGTTCCTAATGTGACTATTTTGAATGAGATGGCAGCCGGAATTGAGTAAATTAAGCCGTTGCTTTTTTTTTTAACAAGTCCGGGAACTTTCCAACATTGTGATCTTCAACACATATAGAAGACATATTCGTACGTGTTTAGAGTTTATAAGGTTGGTAAAGTTGAATGAAAAGTCTGTTTCCATCAGATACAGTTGTATGTATCCTCATAACTTTGTTCACGACTTACGTTTAAAAGCTATATAAAACAATTTTCAGTTACATTAATGTATTATAAATTACATACAGCAAGCAGTAACACTGACATTTCCACATATTATCGATTACAGTAGTATCATAGAACTCATGAATATGAGGCACACTCTTGTTAAAAAGATAAATACTGGTTTTAATAATATATCAAAGCAATAAAATAATTACTGAACTATGACGAACCTTATGAATCTGAAATATGCTCATGTTTACAAGTTTAATGTTGAATGGAATGATGTAACAGAAATAACGAAATGTAATGAATCTTATGAATCAAACACACGGACGTTTACAAGTTTAATATTGAATAGAATAGTGTAACCAATGTAAAAAATAATGAAATAATATAAAGAACTCTGTTTATCAGACATATACTATGTTTGTAAGTTTCATGTTGAATGAAATAATGTAATAAAAATAATTAAATAACGGAACACATGGTGGAGCATTCTGTAGAGTTAATAGTACAGGATATCCCAACTTTTCCTGCCCATACCAAAGCCCTGTAAGAGTGGAATACGTTGCCTCAAAAGCTGTAAATGTCTCTTCATAAGTAAACATTAGACATTGTGAAGGTATTAAATTTTGTGGTTATGTCTAAGACAGTTAGTGTAGACATAGGCCAAGTTTTCTTGCTTGGGTTATAAAATTACAATATTTTACTATGACACTAACAACAAAAGAATTTTAGGACTTGAAATATGTAATATATTAAGTATGATTTTTTAAGATTGGATACTTAGATTGAAACGCCAGACGGCTGGCCGGAAGGCGAGGAGACAGAACCGCGGCTGACTCTTCGCATTCCTTGTCAGTCGATTGAATTGTATTTAGAAAATATTGTTTACGCATCAGCGGAAAGACCCGGTCAGGTTTCACTTCGCGCGACAGGAAATGTCCAGCAGGTTGCCGACCTAAGGGATTTCGCGCGACAGGAAATGTCCAGCAGGTTGCCGACCTAAGGGATTTCGCGCGAGCAGCCTTTCGCGACTCGGAAAAAAAAAGTTAATTTTGGGACTGGGGAAAAAGGCCGTTTCTGGCATTCTGTTTCTAGCAGTTGCGACGAACGGACGGACTAGAGCAAAGTGTGCCTGTGGGAAAACTTTGGGATAGCGCCATTGTTCTTCATGTTCAGCACGAGTGAGTGCTTGCCCGTAGTTGGGTCACTGATTGCTTGTTAGAACTTCTGGTTCAATGGTGGTTGAGAAGGAAATAAAAGGTGTTGGTTTGTGCCATTTAGGTTTAGCATATTATGGATAGTTAAATGGTAGGAAGTGTAAAACAGGGGTGTAATCGAAGGTTGTGTATGAGGGGATAGGTTGTTTGTTGTAATAGTGCTTTATTTCATTATATATTACTTTATTGTTGTTGGTTTGAGTACTCGAGTTTTTGTGGATCCCCTTATGTAAGCAGGTTTTCCACCGCAGAGGTTAGAGATATCCACGGACGTCCGATAGGGGGTGAGTACCCTATAAGGGCACAACAACGGTACACTGCAGGGCTAAAACCTTTAGAAAAGTGCAGGGATAGTTTTACACAACTTAAGATTTTAACAGTATATTCGTTGTACAAACAACAAATCGTCTTATATGTAACTAATAAGTGTAACTGCACGGTAAAAAAACAAGTACACAAACACAATACATGAAACAACAATGACTACCATAAATGGGTGCATAACTTAGAACTTTATAACAGTAAATCTTCGGTTGCTGGTTGTATCTTTTATAATAAATTACCTAATAATATAAAACAACTTGAAAATAAAAACCAGTTTATAAGGGAACTGAAGAATTTACTCATTAATGGGTGTTACTACTCAACTGAAGACTATACTCGTATGAATGATAAATTTTTAAATACAGGATAATGATACATGCTAGGTGTAAACAATTATTACGTATTTTGTTATTTTATTGGTTAAGAATTTATTGTATTTTTGCTAATTTTATAATTTGTATCATGTGACATGTCCTACATCAATGTAATCTGATCTATAGGATGAATAAACATGAATGCATGAATAATTAGTTAAGCACAGGAACAACTTTGGGGGCACGCGGTAGCGTAGTTGGTTGAGGGGCTATGCTACAAACCGGAAGGTCACCTGATTTTTTTCAATTAACCGAATCCTTCCAGCCGCTCTATGGCCCTGGGGTACTCTCAGCCTCTTAACAGAAATGAGTACCAGGAATTAATTAAATAATTTTCCTGGGGAGTAAAGCGCGGCCGGCGCGTAAGGCTGGCAACCTTACCGCCATCTTTGAGCTGATTGTCTAGATAATGTGGAACCTTCAACGTCTCACAACCATGTGGGCCTTCACGGCCTGGTACAGGGATAACTTTACTTTACCTTTACTTACTTATCCTACATAAGATTTAAATAATGTTTATGAAATCGCATCACTGCCGCATGAATTGTTTCCTTCTCAGAATTCTGCGCATGCCGTGTAGTAGGCCAAAAATTTAAATATAAAAAAAGCACGTTTAACTTGGAGATGTAACTTCGTGAGTAAATGTCTTCGGTTTTACAATGATATCAAGTCAAACTTAAAACTTACCATCCAGCAAAGACTAAGCAGTACCTTGTACATTAATTTTTGTTACTTCCAAGCGTCACTACACGTACTCGTATACGTATGACATGTACGACAGCTGTATATTGTTAGGGTCCCTGTCAGTGGTTCATGTAAATATGATAGGTGTACTGTGAGTGGAACAGTTGAGTGATCAATATTAACGCTGTTCATAGATGGCAGTAGACATTAACGCAGATGGCGTTTGCACATGTATTCCATAAACACGTTTCCGGATGGGGAGGCAAGGCGGGCAAGGCGATTATGGTAGTTTGGCATGAGGTTGAACCTTCGAGAGACGAAAATGGTGTTAAGATAATGTTATTTAAAACATTCATAGCTTCATATAATTATTGCAGTCCGACTGGAATATATGTTGTATGAGAAGAATTAGTTTGTTTTGCAGAAAGATTTTCAGCAGATTGTATTTACTATTTGTCAGCTTGGGTAATTTTCTGGAGTGTTAATGTTCTTCATACATCTCTTATTCTGCCACGACTTAACTTTCGTATTTTCAAATTCTGCTGTTCTATTTATTTATTTTAAAATATATAGTGGATACTTCTAAAATATAGACAGAATTTTCAAGACAACCCAGCTTCACGAATATCACATTGTCTATTTTTTTCTTTGACGTGTGTCATCTCAACTTGGATTTGTTGCATTCATGAATAATGCTGGTTCATGCAGCACGCTGAATTCTGTACTGACACCAATTTGGCCAGTGTTAATGCGCGTGTATTGAACGCATGTTCTGTGTTGGAAGTCCTGTATGTCCTGTAAGTGGCCTACAGGTTCAGTGAAGGTGCTTTCAGTTATAGAGGAGTTCGCAAATAATAAGTACCGGTGTTTTTTTTTTTACCGTTCAGAACTTGTAATATATATTGCAGAAAAATTCTGAAAAGATGTTCATAAAACAAGTAAGTCCTCCCCATAAAAGCTTGACACATTTTATTTTCAAATTAGTAACTTATCAGTGCACAGTCCTTCCTTTCATTTTGCAGGTGATAATTGAAGGCTTTAAAAGTTACAAGGAGAGAACTGTACTGGAACCATTTCATCCTAACCTGAATGTTATAGGTAAGGATCATGAAATTCTTGCATAAGATTTAGTCGGATGGGGTATACACAATGTAGTATGTGATTTTGTTTTCAGTGATATCCTTGTGTTGGTCCTGAGAGGTTAGAGTGTCTTAATGACCTTTTATGCATAAACAATGACTTGGGTTACAACCCTGCCAGTGATTATTTCCTATTGCTCTCTTGTACATATTTATTTTCCCCACTTTGTCACTTTTATGAACATCGTGCAGCTATAGCAAGGTGTCTGCAGAATATATGCCAGGTGTAGTAATGCAACCTAAATCAACATGACAAATCTATCTTATGACATTTTAACCAAATGCATTTAAACAGACCTCTTGTAACCCAAATCCTGAAACACTTTTCATTATTTTCCTCAGTTACCTGCATATCCTGGGATAGTACTGCAAAATATGTCAGGACCATTTTCTTTCACATTTTTCCAGTTCATGCTCTAGTCCTCTTAATCAAATCCATTAAATAAAACAAATCAGGCTGAAGGTAATTAATGGAAAATGGAAATCTTAAGCAGCATTAAAATTTGCTATTTCCTTTCCCTTGATTAGAAACTTACACTGTATCAGTTTATTTTACTTCCCCTACTCTCACCAAACTCGCAGTGTTCAATTTTAATTTTTGTAAGTTTGTATTGAATCCCATAAGGCCAAGAATGTTGGAGTTATATCTCCACTCCCTCATATATCTTGATGGCATGGTGCTTTATTAAGCACAGGGACAGCTTTACTGTGCCTTGTATTCACTCCCAGAGGCATGAGATGTATCATGAGCCAGTTGATGGCTGCATCTGGACCCTTGCTTCTTCATCTATCTTTCCTATGTCATTTATGTAAACACTGCCTCCCCATACCCTCCTACTCTTTAATGAGACCCTTCTAGACTTAGCACTGAGATGCCGCCCCCCCAGAATAACCTTCTGCTTTATTCCTTCTCTGTTTCAGACCTTTGTCATACTAGGATCACTCTCTTTAACGAACAACAGTAGTCACGTCTAGTATTCATTCATATTCATATTCATATTTATTTGCATTCATACTGTTACAGCTGCAACACTTGAACAAGTCAACTCACTAAATACATCATTGTTAAAAGCTCTAAAATCCTAGAATGTATTAGACTAAAAATAAAACTGTACTTGCCTTACAACATCACTAAAAATTTTAAAAATATAACAATAACTACTACAATTCCCTTTTCTTCTCTTTTTTTGTTAATTAAAAAAAACCTTGCTATGCTTTCTCATGTCCCTGTTGAAGAAACTCATTCAATGTATAGAAAGGACGATCAAATAAAAATAATTGTAATTTATGTTTAAATTTGTTACATCCCTTTGACTTTTTAACTTCCAAAGGAAGTATATTATATAATTTAATGCCCACATTAATAACACTTTTCTTAAAAACTGATGTGTTACATTGTTGTACATGAAGATCATCTTTCCTCCTAGTATTATACTCATATAAATCAGTATTTCTCATAGTGTATATATTATATCTCTTAAAATAACACAACACCTCTATGATGTACAAGGACGTAATAGTTAAAATCTTCAATTCTTTAAATAAAGGTCTGCATGACACTCTGTTATTTACACCTTTCATGAAACGAAGCATCCTTTTTTGTATTTTAAAGACTTTAATACTTTCATTTTCTCCTCCCCAAAAAATCAACCCATAACTTACCAACGATTGAAATTTGGCAAAGTATATATTCCTGAGTATATGTAAACTTACCTCATCTTTCAAAGATTTAATAATATAACATACCTTATTCAATTTTGAACACAAGGACTGAATATGTACACTCCATTTGAGATTTTGAGTTATATTAATACCTAAAAATCTAAACTGAGATGTATACTTAATTTTTATGTTATTAAAAATAATATAATGTAATGTAATGTGGTAGCAAGCACATAGGAAATCTCTTATAATTTGGACTGTTATAAGATGCTTAAATCAACACTTTGATAAGCATGCATCATCATAAGAGCACACACATGCAGTATCCCTTGTCCTTTCCCCATTGATCTGTAACAAAACTTATTGCTTGGCCTGGCGATACAAAACAGATCTATCCAATAGGTCCCACAGATAAAGTACCCTTTCCTTCTGCCTGAAGATAGGAACAAATCCAGCTTCCAGAATGTTATTTATCTTTTGAATCCATACAGTGGCCAACAAGCAAATTAAATTCTACCATGATGAATGTAATTTCTGATTAAAAAGCTTTATTAGAAATGCAATAAAGGAACAATATAATTTATGTGAAGAAGTGTAAAATGTTAATAATGCCCTGGAGAGCTAGTGTACTCCAAAATAGAGTACATTTTTTCACTCCTGGCTTTTGTTGCAATGAATTTTAGTCATTTAACAAAACAAACTCTAGCATTTTGTAATTATTATTATTGCTATTGATTCTGGCTTTTTATTGCAGTTGGTGGAAATGGTTCTGGTAAAAGCAATATTCTGTATGGTAAGTGTTTCTTACTGCATTATTATCTCTTAAAATATGGTTGTTTCATTATGGGAATGTGAACTGTGAGGGTGACTGGCATCGTTACGAGCCGAGTTGGGTGTCTAGCATGTTAATGCTCAAGTATAGTAAGCAACTGGGAGCTCCCTCAAGGACATTCACATAGGTGGGTTGTTTATTGCCCTGGAAATTGAAATGTAAACACACTAAGAGAGCACTGTGTACTGTGTTGTGAGTCACAGGTCAGTGTGACATAGGCTGTTCTCATCTCATATTTCATATCCAGGAAATTGATGTAATACTGCATTAGTATTAGTATTAGTATTTATTCATTATTCCGGACATCCACAAGATGGATACAGAACTTGTCCTCACTTAGTACATACATACAGACCAGATGGAACATTACAACAGTATGAAATATGAATAGTTAATACCTTAGATTAAATAAATAAAAAGTCAAAACATGTCATTTGAGAACAGTCATATTAAATAAGAAATCCACGATAAACAAATAATTATGAGTTACAAATAGTAAAAAAATCCCTCAGATTACAGAAAATAAGATTAATTGGTAATGCACAGGTAGAACTCATAATAATAACAAAACAGACATTATAGAATGAGTTTACAATGAACAGAAAATCATAAATTACAAATATAATACACAAGTGAGCCATAAAATTTACCATCAGATATGTTTATTACAACTGCTCTCATTATTGATCAAAATACTCTTCTAATGAGTAGAATGAATTCGTGTATAAAAACTTTTTAAAGTGGTTTTGAATTTAATTATGTTACCATTAACATTCTTAATATGAGAGGGTAATTGGTTAAAGATTTTTATCCCCGAATAATAAGCTCCTTTTTGATAAATGGATAAGTTTGCCTGTGGAATATATAAATTATTACTTCGCCTAATTTCTAGGTTGTGACTTTTAATGCTTGTTATAAAAAGGTCTTTATGTTGAACTACAAACATCAGTAAGGACAATAAATATTGAGTTGTTAGAGGCAAAATATGTAGTTTCTTAAATAAGTAGAGGTCCCAGAACACTCCCCTACAGGACTCCATGATTAATTTTGTTTCAACTTGAAACTTTATTGTCACTGTCATTAGGAATCAGTGTTCTTAGATATCTATTATCCAGGTAATTGATACAATGCAAGATTCCTACCATTTCATAAAATTTCAATTTAGATAACAAAATCCCATGATCAACACAATCAAATGCTTTCTCCAAGTCACAGAAGATCCCTCCCACTAATAGTTTGCTGTTCATCGAATTTAGAATCTCAGTTGTTACTTTATAGATTGCATCATCTGTCTTTAATCCTGTTCTGAAGTCATATTGTTCCTTTATACTTAGTAAGATGTATTAGAATCCTTGTCTGCATAACTATTTCAAATATCTCAGAGAATGATGTTAAGAGTGATACAGGTCTATAATTAGACGTATCACATCTGTCACCATTCTTATGTAGTGGTTTTATGATTGCATATTTTAATCTATCCAGGAATACACCCTGAAATAGCATTTTATTGCATATATAATTTAGTGGAGAACATATGACAGGGGCACTTAGTTTCAAAATTTTTGTAGATATTTCATCATAACTATATGAGTTTTTGTTTTAAGAGATTTTATAATTTGTTCTATTTCTTTTATTGTAGTATATTTACATTCAATATTAGGGAAAGGGTTGTCAAACGCTTGATTGATGAAATGAATATGATTGTCCACATCATTATTATTAATGTGCCTATGAGTATTTCTAATTTGTCTTCTGCTGTTCAGATGTGGTTCGCAGTGAGACAGAACTGTATCTTTCTGTATGTGAGAGCCACCAGCATAATATTCAGAAAGTCCAGGTTTGAGTCAACTGCTGCCACTAATATTTATTATTCATAATTCGTAATATGGAAAGTAATAACAAAATTAAAGATTTGAGGTTTTCACTGAATTGAATGTTCATGCTTGGTTATGTCACCCTGTTGGCTGGTAGAAGGATATGAATATTTGGAAGGAACAAATTACCTTCATCTTCAAGGCAGAAGATGGAGGCTTCAAAACAGTAGCCTCCTATGAGACTGCATGCCATCATAACCCAGAAGACCATAATATCAGCATAATCACAACTAATCATCTTAAGACAGGAATAGAGGGAACTCCAGAAATGTAATATGTAAGGTGTATCTCACTCTGTAGACATTGCCTAATGTAATATTGATGTAATGAATCAATCATTGTTGCAGACCTTTAGAGAATCATGTATCTTTCTCAGTGAATGTCCAGGCAATCCCAAACTTGGCATCAGCCAAGTCCTGGAGTGAGGAAACTGAAATATTTCTAGAAAGTGACAGTGTGATACTCAGAGGGCAAAAGAGAGCTAATATTGGAAAAGGAAATGGAGAAGAGTAAACAGAACTATGGCTTTTACTTATTTTCAACAAGAGTAATGATAATAAGAAAAATAACTACAAGCAGCCATGTCACAATGAAAGGCCTCAGCAGAAGAGTGGAAGGGTGTGAGGACCAGTTGTATATGAATATTTTTTTCTCATCTCCTTATTCATTCAATGGCCTGACAAGATGCAGAGTAGACAGTTTTGGGTGACTAAGTCCAAAAAGGAAGAGCAAGCCACAGAACCTAGGACTTATGCGAACATTGAAATGGCTGATATTCGAGCAAGGACTTAACGGGGTGATTCAATGTCTTTTTCTTTTCTGCTTTATTGATGATGATGTTATTAGCTCAGAGTATATAGCATTGAACGGTAGGATTATCAATGAATAATGAATTGATAATGGTGTAAAAGGAAGGATTGTGACCTAATTTGAAGGACTGTGGAAAAAATAGTTGATATGTTCGTTCTTTTTCTTTTATTTCATGTTTGAATCCATGATCTCTCAAATGAGTAGGAATCATGACTGTGTGACCACAATATTTGGTCAGAGATTACTTTTGAAGGCTCCTTCCATCCTTCATTCATTCATTCATTCCCATTCAACACAGAGGAAACTTGTTATACATTTACTGAACTACAGTGTTTGTGGATGTGTGTGTACCCATGTGTATTTGTACATGTGTGAATATAGTTTTTCTCCAGGATGTATTTGTTTCCATGATACAGTTAATTTCTTGTAACGAAGCAGTTCATAAATGAAGGTACTGTTGCAGTTTCATGTCAGTCTTATATTATGAATTTTTTTCTGTTTCCTCTTTGCAGCAATACAGTTTGTGCTGAGTGATGAGTTCTCACATTTGAAAAAAGATGTACGGCAGAATCTATTGTTTTATGGTTCAGCACCCCGTGTTGTTGTTGCTTCAGTAGAGATCATCTTTGACAACACAGACAAACAGTTGCCGGTAAGACAAATTTTAATTATGGCTTAAAGTTGAGCAACCTTTGTTTATTTATAGTTGGTACTGTGAGTGATAGTTTTGGTATTTACAATTTGGCCGCAATTTAATGATTTCCCTAATCAGTGCTGAGTGCTGCCTCCCTCAAAACAGCATTGAATGGCATTCATGCCTGAACTTACTGCCTCAAAGTACGAGCAGAATTTTCCATCGGTCACATGTTGCCAGTTTTATGTCTTCTTTACACTGCAAGCTTGTGACTGTACTCTTATGATATCTGAAGTTGAAATGAAAACCTGACAAACTGCTCCTTTTTTCTGCCCAAGTTGGGCTTGCTATGTTATATGCAGACAGTATTAGAGAGCATTAAATCATGGCTTCAGTATGAGAATATTGTAGTAAAAAATATTCGTTAACAATATAGTAGAATAAAGTAATAATACTTTTCTTTTAGCATTATAAAATCAGAATTCATCTTGTGCTAGGCAAATAAGTCTCTTTCATAGTATACATTTCTTTCACATGAATTTCAGTATCTGTTTTATGCACGAGTGCATGCCATTTAGGTGGTGTTACATTTTGATGATGTTTATGAATAAACATAATTGTCAGCGGTTTTATGTCTTTCTTAGCACAAATTGCAAGTGAATAATAATAAAGATTGTTTACATCATATAAACTTGACTTTATGGTCCCATAATATATCATGCAAGTCATTCTTCCTCAATGCTTTACGTGGTTTTTTTGCCCACTTACCACCCACAATATGTATACTTCTCTTCCAACACACTGTTAATAGGGTCAGCTTTATACACACCCATAACCAAGAGGCAAGAGAGTTTGACTGATAGGTATTGCTAATTCATTTTCATAACTTATAACAGTTCACAGAGATGCAAGGTTCCAGCTGTAATTATATAATGGTTTTGAAAGCTGTTGTGTCCCTAAGTATTGTTTAGAACATTTTATGCTGATGATTATGTATAAACTCTTATATACAAAATGCTGTGGCATATAGACTTGTTGTTAGGCACTGACCACAAAAGAAACAAGATTACGTTCGTTGCTAGGCAGCGGCCCACCCACAACAATGGAAGTACTGTTGGAAGCAGTGTTTTCTAGGTGGTCCGCTCTGAAGCTGTGTCATGTGACCGACCAAGTTCAGTTCAGTTGGTGCAGTGCAGTAAAGCGAGTGGGTTGGTGAGTGAGTGAGTGAGTGAGTGAATTAGATGACTGCTGCAGTTCAGTCCTTGTGAGCTGTTGCAGTTAGAAGCTGGTAGCTGAGGCACGGGGACACTCTAGGAACCCAAAGGAAGGAGAATGTCCACCATTGAAAGCCATTACCAGGCAATGACTGGTGAAGACACAGCAGACTGAGAAGACTTAGTACATGCTGTAGTGAACTGCAAAGTTACTGAATTAGTGATAGCACTATAGTGACTTGTAGTTACCATCTATAAGTGGTCACTAAATCTAATTACCAATCCATACTCCATCTGTAGTCACTCATACACATGATAGTACAAATGATATTCCATTTTCCACTCATATTTCAACCACTACCAATTATCTCATGCAGTATCACAAAATTTCACTGAATTGCAATGCATGTTTACCCTCATAAAGGATTCTTTGTGAAAGTTGATATATCCATAATCAGAGGAGACAAAGAATCTGAATATGTGAACTTTACGAGTTTCAAGATTTTCACAACGGTGATTAGTCAGGTGGTGGTCTGCTGGGTTGTAACACCATATAGTCTCATGGACTTATACCAGCATTTCAGAGGAACATGCTCCCTCCATCATCAGTACTGAAATGTGCAGGGCTAGGAATTGGTTTATTTATATAGGCAGATTACAAACAAGGTTGTCGCTCATACCCACAAGAGGGTGTAAGGAAATGGAGCCCAGTCGAGACAGTAGGCATAGTACGTAGGAACGAAACCTTTTCCATAGTTGCGGGATTGTTTTTTCCTGCCTGCTAAATTGCTGCTGGCTCTCACCATCAGTGATTCTTGTTTCTGAGTCCCAACAGACTCATGGCCATATTTTACTGTCTGATGGCTCTGGGAGCCACCACCCTTTGTGAGAGTAAAGAACACTGTGAATGGGTAAAATTTCGGGATGCTTCACTTACAAGGCCACCCAATGGTGACCCATGTTATGGACTGGAACATGTAGTGGAAGGAGGAATAGCATTGTAAAGACTGTACTTTGTATAACCTTTACATGTTACTCTTTTTCCCACTAAATATTTTAATCTGTGGCAAGGGATATTTCAGAATAAAATGCAACAGGATGCCATTATAAGATTTTCCACCTTTTTTCTTTCATGCAATGAATGATAAATAAATTAAAAAGTAAGCATTTATTTCAACGATATATGATAGAAACTCCGTCCCAAGTATAACAATATATTGTAGGTCTTTCATCTTGCTTTCTTCTACACTACATGTTTCGGCCGCAAACGGCCATCATCAGGTGTATACACTCACGTAGCTGTTACACTGCACCCAGTTTAAAATTAAAAACATACAGGTCTTCCCAATTGTTCCCTTCGTCGCTGCTAACAGGATCTACTTCGCTGATATTTGTCTGATTCGTACCTCATCTTTGCCACCCACACACGTCAATTTTGACCTTCATGAACTGGCACTTTTAAAACCTTCAGTTCCAATTTTAAAAATTCTTTTAAAATGTTTTCCCAAATTTTAAATTTAAAATTTAAAATTCTCAGGGTTACTCGCCCACGTCTATAGTGCTGTAGCGGCTACTTCTTGTTTTCAGCACTGTACAGGTGTTATTCTGTGTAGGCTCCCTGTGTGTGTGCCGCTGCTTATCTTTACGAAAGACCTACAATATACTGTTGCACTTAGGACAGAGTTTATATCATATCGTATAGAGTGCAACAGGATGCTTAAATGTAATATTTATTTCAACATTTTTCCCTGTGTGTGTGTGCCGCTGCTTATCTTTACGAAAGACCTACAATATACTGTTGCACTTAGGACAGAGTTTATATCATATCGTATAGAGTGCAACAGGATGCTTAAATGTAATATTTATTTCAACATTTTTTCAGATTTCCTCAGATGTAGTTTCCTTCTGTCGGAGAGTTGGACTTAATCATGATCAATTCTACATCAACAAGAAGGTAACTTCATGTAAGGAAATGGTGGATGTGTTAGTATCAGCTGGATTCTGTTCTTGTAATACATATCACATTGTAAAACAAGGAAAGGTAAGTGAGAAAGTACATTCAAATATATATAGCAAAATTAAAGGGAGTCATATTAATTACCTTTTCAGTACAGAACTTTTGTTAAGTGGTGTTCCCCATTTAAGTTTTTAGTCTTTATAATTCCTTTTGTGTTTATTTCATATATTGGTTTATGGTCATGTTGTATATGTGACACAGAAAACCTAATTGAAAACATCAGGAATAAAATTGCAAGGCAAAATTTCTTTTTAATGATTGCCACTCTTACGGAAATATCACCTGACCTCTTCTTTTCCTTGGTTTGCCCGCCCTTTACTGTACAATTAGTATTTGTGTCAAGTTCCGAGAACTCATTCTGTCATTAGTTAAAGTTAAAGCATCATAATTAGCGTCTAAATACCACTAACACTATGTAAAGCCCACCCACCAAAAAAAAAAAAGAACAGTGTTCTCTTAAACTTCCATACATAATTTACAGGGTGGTGCTTGAAATAGTTATCCATTTACGCTAGTTGTTAAAATGATGCTATGTTAGGGACAAATTTAAAACATTGCCAGTGAATACAGTAGTTCATGGAATTTATCATAGGTGATGGCAGAATGCTGTGTTAATAGTGACACATCTGTAGCAATGTAGTTAGAGAGTGGGAGATTTGCAGTTGATAAGAAAGCAATAGTCATTCTTTTTTATTATTATTTATTGTTGTGGCAGGAACAGAAAGTGACATTTTAACACAAAAATATTTTTATGCATATATTGGTACATGGTGAACTTTTCAAAAGTAAACAGTATGGAGCAGTTAGAGGATGAGGGTTGAATATATTATTGACTTTTTGGACATTGTCCATCATCCTGTTGCAGGTGGAGGAAGAGTCAAGTTTCTGAAACCTTGTAAAAAAAAAGTAAAGTAAAGCTATCCCTGTAACAGGCCGTGAAGGCCCATAGGGTTGTGAGACGTTGAGGGTCCCACATTTTCTAGACAATCAGCTCAAAGATGGAGGTAAGGTTGTCAGCCTTACACGCCGGCCATGCTTTACTCCCCAGGAAAATTATTTAATTAAATCATGGTACTCATTTCTGTTAGAGGCTGAGTCAACCCCAGGTCCATAGTGCGGCTGGGAGAATTAGGTCAATTGAAAAGAACCCAATGACCTCATCTGAAACCTTGTCTTGAACAAAAGTAGGATGATGGATAATATCCTGAAAGTTAATAGTTATACTGATATATCATTGTCATGAACATTTAGATCTTAGTAATGCGGGTTGAATATTGGAGCAAAAATGTCCTCATGGTCCAAGTATCTGTGCTTCAAAAAACAAATAAATTCTGGGGGAGGCAAGGCAGTTGTACATGTGCAGATCAACAAGAACTGTGGTAGAGTTGGGAATTTCACAGAATTTAATTCAGCAAATTTTGTGCACAGGTATGCACACTTCTTACAAGATCGCTTTGAGGCACAAACTTGGCAGATGTGACAAAGAATAGAGGATGCATTTTGCTGTTTGTTTAAGATATGCAGACACTGCATGTTCATGGGATTCTGAAGAAGCAAAATGTTTGATTCTGGGCTAATGAACGTCATGTCAGTTTCATGAGACAGGCCCTTGTAGTGGGGGGAGGGAAGAAGGTGGAGGAAGAAAAAAGTAGAAGGAAGGAGGAAAAATGTGATTTTCTGCATCAAGCCAGGGAATGGACCATTTCATTTTTATGAAATAGACATCTCTGATTACAAAATTGATATCCAGATTAATGGGAAATCAATATACATTTGAAGAAAGTCGTCTTCTGGGTTTTGGCGCCAAAACCCAGAAGACGACTTTCTTCATAGTCATCGCCGTGAAAACCTCAAAACTTACATCAGTATACATTTGTTTGCTGCAATACACTGCAGTCTGAAGGAAAGAGGTGCCTTGATGCCACTTGCACACATTGGCCATGGCAGATGCAGTGTGTGGAATTAAGAGGAATTGTTGGCTGGTGTACATGTTAATCCATCGACTAACATGTGTCAGATACCACGTGAAACAGGCCTCCCACAGAATATAGAGTGCAAGTGTTGCTCTCATGCAGCAAGTTCCTGTATGCAACATGTTGTTATTACTGGTTGTAGGAAATTAAAAAGTATTCCTATGGAGTGGTCTCAAATGGCATAATGGACATCTAGTTTCACAGATGTCTTATCTGACTGTGTGTGTATGTTATGTCATTCTCACCAATAGTTTTTTTCATGTACACAGGTGAACTGTTTGTCCAGAACTCACCTTTTGAAAGATAAAGATATTACTTAATTCACTGTTTTAACAGAGAAATTAAATAAAAGGATAAAGGTATAAAAGGGATAAAGATTATTAAGAAAGGGGTGAATGATGAAAGTGTAAAAGAAATGATTCCTTGTCAAATTTCAGTGGTCTTTTCCACTACAGTAAACTCTTTACTGTGTGCAGATTATTTGCTATGTACATTAACTGCAGGAATATAAAACTGCTTAGATATTGGTCATGGCTTCCAATAATGATTTAAATGATTATTTACAGTATACTGCATATCTTTTCACCCTGTTGCAACTTTCTGTTGTATTATTTTATTGCTATTTGTATGGGCCTGCCACCCCAGAAGGGTTGCTTTCTTCTGTTTGAAACATATTTTTCTCGCTGTTTTGTAACCAGCAGCAAGATCAGTAAGTTATCATTAAAAGATTTTTGTGGTTGAATGCAGCATTTCTGATAAAATCTCAGATTGACTGTTTGGACATGTTTCATATTTTCCTTAATTTAAGAATGGATTTGACAGGGCCTCAACACTAAACTTCATACCACTTATTTAACATTCTGTATTGCCTCTTTAAAAATGTGTAGCAAAACAATTGGGTTTAGAATCTATACACAATAACAAAAAACTTTCTGTGTAGGTAAACCAGTTGGCTACAGCGCCAGATTCATATAGACTCAGTGTGTTGCTTGAGGTGGCAGGAACACAGGTGCATGAAGATGAAATTCAAAAAACAAAATCTGTTTTGGAAGGTGAGTGTGTACAGGGTGTCCCATCATCATACATCATAACTTAAGGAGGTCATTCTGAGTAAAAAATGTCGTACCGATATAAGTTATATTCTCCGTGGTTTCAGAGCTATTGATATGTGAAATGTAGCTTCATTTGGAGAAGATTTTTAGGCGAAAAACATTCTTGTAGGAAAAATGATAAAATTATTACATTGTAAAGTTTTTGTAGCTTAAATTAATTGTTAGAATTGTCTGCTATCAGCTTGGATGCACAGCCTGGTTCATTTTACTCAAGAATGTGTAACCTTATGAAGTTGCACTGTTATTACCATGTCTTGTGCCGTCAGAAATCTGCTTAAGTAGTTCATGTATTGTGTCCGACTTGCATTCATATGCTGCATTTTTCATGTTACTCCATATGTGGTAATCTAAGGGGCTGAGATTCAGTGCATGCAGTGGCCACTTCAGCATACTGCCACGCTGATCCATCAGCCAGGGAACTGTTCTTTCAGGAACCACACAGTGTTCCTTCTGAAATTCCTGGGTGCTCCATTGTGCTGGTAGTACATCTGCAGTTATGTTTGCAAAGGAGCCTTCTCCAAGAGGTTCATTTTGCAAAAATACAGAATAAACACATTCATGCCTGCTATGAACATACACTGCATTTCAAATAACCATAGCTCTGAAGCTCCTGACAATAGGACAAATGTTGGTGTAACATTTTTCACTCGAAATTACGTTATGAAACATCTCCGGAAGTTATAACTGAAGTCACTGGACACCTGTATATAACAGAATATTATCACAGTGACAGAGCTTATCTCATTTTAATGTAACTAACAGAGCAGATTTCACACTTTTATGTGATGAGCGAAGCAGAAGAAGCTTAAAAAATATTATTTTCTTTTACCACAAGTGAGACAATGTAAAGTGCTCCAAATGCGAGGGGGTACCCAAAAGAAACCGAACTTATTTTTTTTTTAACTTATTCAAATTTTAAGCACAGACTTTCAATCCCCTTCAAAGTACTCTCCACTTACGCTAATACACTTGTCTAGTCTTTTATTCCATTTTTCAAAACATTGTCTAAATTCATCTTTTGAGATGCTTGACAGCGCCTCCGTCGTTTTTTCCTTCACCTCAGCAACATCAGCAAAACGCTTTCCTTTCATGTCTCTTTTCCTTTAAGGAAAGAAAAAAAAGTTTTGATCATTTNGATCATCATGATGGAAAAACCAGTCACCCAACTGCCACAAATCTGGCCGCTGAGCTCCAAGTCACTGCTGACAGCTCCACAATTTCTTCAATGGTCTGTTGTCGATCTTGATGATTTCACGAATTTTTTCAACATTTCCATGTGTTCGGGCCGTGGAAGGACGACCAGAACGAGGTTTGTCATCAATTGACATTTCACCATTTTTGAAACGGGAAAACCACTCAAACACTTGAGTTTTCCCCCATAGCATCGTCCTTGTACGCCGTTTTTAACATTTCAAGAGTTTCTGTTCCACTTTTCCTGAGCAAAAAGCAGAATTTCACTGCCGCACGCTGTTCACAAAAATCAGCCATTGCAAAAACGACGATCACACAAAACAGTTGTCACTATAAACTCTGCCGAAACTAGTCCTTACCTTCTGAAGCAACGGTAGTCGGCTTATCGACTCAGGAATGTTAGCTCTATGCGCTCATAGAGGCAAAACGCGGTACTACAAAAGCTCTGCCCACAAAAAAATTAGTTCGGTTTCTTTTGGGTACCCCATCGTATGTATCAGTTTAATTGTACATTTCAACTTTGTATTCATCTGCTCTCATTCCTGGGATTAACATTAGGCTGTACTGGATAGCATATTATTATGGCATCAGTATTCAAAAGGAGTTTCACCTCTTACCCTCACCTTGGCTATACTGGAGTAAAGAAATTAATAAATCTGTGCTTATAGTACCTAGTTCAGCCAGACATGTTCAGAAATATTGAAAATAAGGACCCACCAGTATGTCTGGAATCAGTTTTACACGAAACAGGTGTTTTATTCGAAGAAAGCAGTCTTCTGGGATTTGGCACCGTGTATAAGTGGTCTTAACCGACGTTTCGGAGGAACGTATCGCCTCCATCTTCAGGGTAGAAGAAAAAGTATAAGAAATCTGCAAGCAACAAGACCGTGAGAACGGTAAAAGCTTACCGTTCTCACGGTCTTGTCACTTGCAGATTTCTTATACTTTTTCTTCTACCCTGAAGATGGAGGCGATACGTTCCTCCGAAACGTCGGTTAACACCACTTATGCACGGTGCCAAATCCCAGAAGACTGCTTTCTTCATAGTCACCGCCATGAAAGCCTCAAATCTTACAGGTGTTTTATTCGTTATTGAAAATGTTCCATCAACATGGCTCAATTAAGATAACTTTATTAGTGGTATTCATATAACACTGTGAGACCCACTGTTATTCTGTGTCCTTATGTGATTATTATTTCATTAAAGAGATCAAGCAAAAGCTGGAAAGAGCAAAGAATTTGATGCAAGCCTTGTCAAAGAGGCTTGAAGTATTAGTTCAGGAGAAGAAAGATCTAGAAGCATTCACTAGTCTTGATAAATCACGCCGTGCCCTCGAATATTGCTTGTATGAATCTCAATTGAAGGCTACAATGGAGGAACTTGAGTCTGTAAGTTTACAAATATTTTAATTAACCACATAATGAATGAGAAGAAATTATAGTGAATCCCCAGATTTGTAGTTTCTTTGGGGAGCAGTGAATTGAAAAAATCTTAGGTAAAGGAAAGTTAACATTCAGATTGTTGAGTTGATGTCATTGAAACTGAACAGCAAGTGAGGATAACCTCAAATCAAGGAACATTAAATGGAGATTCTACCTAATTAAATGTCCGTGTATTACATTCTGTCAATAATGCAACACTTATTAAAATATTCACAATTTAACACTTAACACAACATGTTTCGACCATCTTCAGATGTTTCAATGTGCCCAAACTGCTACACTGTTTTGATGCGGATTGCAGTCCACTTAAACTAACATAAATAAGTGCTTAAAATCTATGAAAATCGTTCTTAAAATCCTGTTCCACCACATAAGGGTGTTGTCCACTTGTTTAAAGCTATGTGATATTCAGCAGCTTCTTTTTCTGTTTCATTAGCCTGTTGTTTTGCTACTTCTTCAATCTGTAATATGCCCCTTGCTTGTGTCGTGCTGTCTTCACTAGTATGTAGGTGTATGTATGTTGGTTTTGGATAATGGATTGCCACTCAATACCTTTTGGGCAGTACTGGTATAGTATTCATTAAAGACATTGGCTGTAGCTTTTGGATCTTGTATATTTACTGCATTCTCGCTTATTTCAATATTCTTCGTTGCTTTTTTCTGTTTACCTAGTTCCTCCTTAACTAGGTCCCACATGGCTTTCGATTTATTCCCTGATGCTCTTATTCGCACGTTATTAGTTAATTTTTTGCTTCACTGTTACCTTCGTTGTATATTTTTTTTGTGATGACAATAGTATTCTTTAAATTCTTCTGGCATATTTCCTTCTTTCATTAGACTATTAAGAAACCTGAGTCCATTCCCCGATACCCTTCTTCCTGACGTAACCCATTTATTTTCCTGCTGTTTAGTTTTTACCTGTTTTTTAGGAATAGCTATATCATAATACTGTAAAGTACCTAAAAATTAATTGTATGCCTCATTCACTGAATTTTGCTTAAAAACAAGGTCCCAAGTCTCTTTTTCTAGTAGATAGTTTAGGTATTGTACATTCTGAATTCTTCCTTTAATCTAACTTGCCCCTTTTTATTCTTATACTGCATCTGTATTTGTAGTATCTGTGCTTTATGGTCAGAAAATCCTGTTTCAATCACCTTAAGATTGTATCCCATAAGCCCTTATTCAGTATTATTTGATCTAATGCTGTTTGACTTCTAGGTCATATTCTTGTTGGGACATCAACTATTGCTTGCAAGCCGTATGAATTTAACATTGTCTGTAGTTGTAGATTTACTCTTCTTCCTAGGAAACCTATGTTGAGATCACCTACAATAATGATGCTCTTCCCTTTGTTTATTAAATTACTAATTATTGTGTCTATGGTTTCAATAAATATATTAATATTACTGTTTGGAGTTCTGTATCATCATCATCATCATCATCATCATCACCAC